ATGATATCAGACTTGGACATAACATATAGAAATTTTTGCTACTTTTCCACAGATCCATAGGTAGAAAGGACTTAATTAGCTTTCCCTTGCAGTGTAGTATGCTGTATTTTCATGAGAGATGGCTTTTATAATTCTTTTTGGTCAGCTTAATTCAACTGCACATTGCACACCAAAACACATTTCTTTACAAAATCTGTTTCTGTTTTGCCTTTATATACATTTCCCAGCACAGATGACTAATAATACACACTAAGCTGATAATTTCACTGAAAGATATAATATGTTACTGCCATCTAGTGCTTGCAGCAGCACCAGTGCTTTGGTCACGCAATGGAAACAAAGTGTGGAAAAACGTACTTGGACGCATTAGAACAGAAGAATTTTTCTTATTGGTTAAGCTCTGGAATTGCGGATATATCTGAGGAATATGGTAACATTTGCTTTTCTCTCTGTTCTGTTCTCAGTCTGCTCATGTTTTAAGAGAACACTGAACAAGGATCTAATAAGGGAAAGTGTTTGAGGCAAGATCAGAAGGAAGGCATCAAAAATGAAAATAGGACTAAGACAACCCCAGAGGAACGTTATTAGCCCATGGGATGGCATTAACAGAGCAGCTTGGTGATCTATTTAATCTGTATGCTAGGGCCATGTCCCCATGAGCAAGGGCATGCAGTTGCCGTGGAGAAAAAAGCAGCGGCACAAATTTGTGCCGCTGCTTTTTGCCCCAGCACACACCCCTGCATGTGGGGTTAGTGGGGGGAAAAATGCTCCAGGTGGGGTAAGGGAGGCTGGGGCCAGCACCTGGGCTGGGATCCTGGGGGCATCCTCGGACTCCAGCAGTGGCAATCCAGGCACACGGAGCCTGGCTGACAGCTGGGGTGTGTTTCTGGCTGGCCAGGTTCTGGTTTTGGGTGAGGCATACTGCCACCACGTGTACCACCCCACTTTTTTCTGGCATGTGTTTTTTGACACCTGAATCTCCTGGTGTCAACCCCCCCCCCAACGCTGCATATTAGGGTGCTGAATGCCTGCGTCTGCAGCGCGTGCAGTTTGCAATGCCACAGACAGGTTTGTGGCGCCGCAAAGTGCATGTGCGCACTCATCTGGACGCACCCTAGATGGGCAAAGGTTTAGCACAACACTAGCTGAAGGACCAGCTTTCAGATGGCTTCTCATCAAGTTTTTTTCTTTTTCATTTCCGTTTGCCTTGGTTGTGAGTTCTCATGTCTTTTTGCAGAGGAATGCTAGAAATTCCCCCTTCCTGCGAGGGGCAGGGTATCGGACACGATCCATTGTGGTCCTTTCCAGCTTTATAATCTATGAATCTATGAAATTTGTCAAATTTGAAACTCTGGCAAATTTGTTGGTCAACATTCATAATTTAAACCCAGAGAGATCTTTTTACATTTTATTTGATTAGTCCAAATTCAGGGTGCTGTTATGTCACTGAGATGCTATGTATAGACTTTGAGCAAAACGATTTTTGGGAACAATAATATAATTAGGCTGGCAGAGACAAATTGCATTTTAACCATCATATCATATAGACCCTTCTTGAGCAGCTTAAATGCCTGTGTCTGCTAAGCTGTCTTGGCCACCTTTCTTACCAGCCATACTGCTGCTAATGAAGCAGTAGAAAGTCTGGAAAATGCAAGTATAGCCTCAAGGGCTGATCTAAAGCCCTTGGAAGTCTTCAGTGGATTTCTGTGGGTTTTCCAACTGGTCTTAAACATGCAAGCAGAGCTCCAAGCATGGATTACATCTGACATGAATCAGGTAACACTTAGACTAGAGGCTCATATGGTTAATCTATTCTTACAGAAAGTCTGAGGCAAGAGCCTTTTCTATACACCCCTTTCATGGCCAATTCATATTCCTGTTCCTCTGCATTCAGATGTTGGTCAGAAACTGTAAAGATCATGAGAAATGATTTACTTCGTCTGGATAGGAGAAATACAAGAATGCCCCCTGATGCTACTTTCCACTAATATATTTTCACAGTATGGTGATTAAACTAGACATGACTGCTAACTATGAGTGTGATTGAAGCCTGCAAGTCCTCCTATCAACCTCAATAGTTATTTGATTGGGCCCATTAGGCCAAGTTATACAATTAAATTGAAATCTAGGGTTTCAAAAAGCCCAATGATGATTATAGTTCTGCAAATTAATTTACCACAGGTCAAGGGAATAAAATCTTGCTTGATTAAACCCTGATGCTGGACAAAAGGGTGAATTCCTTATCCAATAGCTTCAGTAAGAGAAAGAATATGAACAATATCTTCAGGGTTTGTCCCACTGAGATTAAATGACTTAATAAATTATATAGTGTATCAGAAACATGCTGTTAAAATTGCTTTTCCTAAGAGGTGAAGGATGAAATCCCAGATCAACTGCTGGCAAATGCTCACACACAGTGCAATGACTCATGTTCTTCATTAGCAGTTTATGCTGACTATTAGAATAATCGATTTTTGCATAATTTAGATCTCCAGCTCTCCACTGTTTTGCTTTCTTCCTCTCCCTGCCCCTCCCCTCGCAGCATGTATGGAAAAAGACCATTACAAAGACATTCCTTGCTAATTAATAAAATTGCACCGCTGATAAATGCTTTCTGCTTTGCACTGTACATTAATCTTACAAAAGCATTTATCAAAATAGATTTCAGTCAAAATCCAGCATGTGCTCAGTAGTCTTCTGCAAGCAGGAAGGTCTAATTCAAATGCTTGAATCTTAGGTTTTATTGTTTTTAACAATGCCAGGGAAGGGAGGAGGTGTGTATACCTGTGAGACCTGTAATTGGTACCTGTGCACTGTAAGAAAGCAAAGTACAAATGAAGTGCCTCATTGCTTTGCTCCCCACTGCCCTGTACTTGCATAACCCTTTACATCAGCACAAAGTGCAGATAAATTGCCTTTTGACCAGAATCAGTATTTTATCCTCATGGTATAGATAGCAGCCCAAGATGGAGGACAGTGGCAAATCAAACTCAGATTAGTAGCTTGTGGTGAGGGTGGTATTTTCCATGAGGTTTGTGCTCCATTCTCCTTACCATCATTGATTTCAGGAGCTCATCACCAGACCTTCCTCCTAGCAATATATGATGAGGCAGTTCTCTGTAAATCCAGACCTGCAATATGCCTCTACATGGTTCTTCTAAACCAACAGTTATAATGTTTGGTTCCCCAAAGCTTGGGAGCGCTCAGGGTTTTGATCCAGGCCCTCCTTCTCTGATAATTGTTGGTGATATCATTCCACCGGGAGCAATTTTGCAATTAAGTACCCTCTAGTGACTAGTCCTATTGACCCAAGGGGGTCTCAGCATGTCGCAGGTGGCGCACAACACCTGATAGGACCTCGTTGTATCTGTCCCTGAAAAAGGTGGATCCAAATTGAAATAACAGATGTTGCATGGTAGAAATTATGTGTATTGGCCACGGTTCTATAAGGTAACTTTTGTATGGCATTTGCCTACACAACAACTAGTTCAAGTTGGTACTATAAATCCCTTGGTTTCATTAACAATACGTTCACCCACAAGCTACCAAGGAGAAAAAAAAGCCCCTAGAAAACCTGCCCATTAACTCAGTATTTTCTTTGTAATGAACAGAACACCAAACAGTGCTATTCATAGTTGTTTCCCACTGAAGGAGACTATTTCTTTACCTTATTTTATGATTAAAACAGGCTTGATGTGCATTGACAAAGCAGTATGCCTTTCAAGCTGAACAGTCTCCTATTGTTGCAACCACAGCAACGGGAATAGGAAGCGGAGTAACAAGAGTAGCAACACCGAGAGCTATTAATGATGGATCTGGAGCTGCTTTTATTGTGTGAGCTTAATGATAGGTGTGATGCAATGAAAGAGGCTGTGAAAGTATGTAGGGGGCAGTCCTCCTCTCCAATCAGAATGACTTCAAAATTAGCCTCCAGGGAAGAGATCTAAGAGGTCACTTGTGCAAGCTTAAAGGAAAAGCAATTGGCTTGTACTCCAGCAGTAACATGGAGAAAGGTCTTTAAAGCCTAGAAGAGAGAGCGCTGCTGTGCCCCGGGATGGAGTCGTTTGCTTGGTTTCCTTGGCACAAGGACCACCATCTCTCTCCAGTGCCCTGAAGGGCATCATGTAGGTTAGGTGGCACCAGCTGAAGATCCGCAGACCTCAACCAGCACACCTGCATTCGCAGAGTAAGTTTTTAAGAAGACAATTCAAATCAGTAAGGATCTCAGCTACAGGAATAAAGCAGCTAGCTTAGGACTTGGAAGAGCAGCCAGTGGGCCCATAACTAATGCTTCTGTGTCCAGTAAGTCCTCCTGGCTAAACATAAGGCAAATGTGTACGTGTCGAAGCCTGGAAAAACGTGACGTTTTGATGGTAAAATGTCCTTCCTTTAAATTATATTGAAATGGTATATGGGAATAATTAATTGCATGGGAAAGTTTGCAGTTGTCACAAGGGACCGGAAATACAGGCAAAGCTACTAAAAAGGAAGTCTTGGATAATTTGAAGGGTCAAGGTTTTCCTGGTTGTGGTTTTGTATGGAGAATTCATTTTTATGATGTGCATTTATTATTTTCCTTTTTTCTTGTTTATTTTGGATGTTCTAGATGAGTGAAGCCCATTTGGGTGTCTGTCTTAGACAAAAGTCAGAAGCAGAATCAGTGCGCTCAGCATCACTGTAAGTAAATTCACCACTCAAAATTATTGTAAATTGATTAAAAGGTTTTGCTCCTCCCCACCCCCCATGAAGTAGTTAAATACATTGGATTAATTATTGTACTTTAAAGTGAATCATCCAAGTTATAGGCATCAAGCCATATGATTTAACCAGTATTTTTCAAAAAGCAAAAATTCATTTAAAATATTCTCTTTGTGGTTGTACCTGAAAGGAAGATTGTTCTGCATGGAAAACTGATTACAGCTTCTTGGGGGTCTTTTTCCTTATGGTGCACATGCATCTGGCTTCTTCAGAATAATTGATTTCTATTTTCTATTATTATGTTTCTACAAGGATTAGCTCTCTATTTGTACAACACATTTTCCACAGCACTGAATACTAGCAATGGTTTTATCATTATCAAGCATGATTAAAGGAGTTGGTATTCTCTGTGGTCTTCTTACCTGCTCTACTCCTTGTCAAGTGGCTCTGTGCAGAATACTATACTTCTCTGGGTTAATGTAATGTATTAATTCATTGTTTAATGCTTTAATTTGGAGCAAAGATTTTTGGAAATCAATTATTTAAAACCGACACAGATGGAAGCATCTCTGAGTATATGAAATCCTGAGTCACTTAAGGACTGCTGCAATACAGCTCTCTCTCCTTCACTTGAACCCCATAGACAAAAAAAAGTTGCCTATGACTTGTTGCACTAGTGTTGTATCATCTGAATTTTGGCTTGTAGATTTAGGTCTGATCATACCAGTGCAGACACCTATTAGCTGCCAAGGTTGTCCATGAGATACTGTTGATTCTCTTGCAGCTTTGAGTTGCCCTTACATAGCTTCATTCTTTTTCTGGGAAAGTTATAAAAGCAACTGTGGACAGTTCATCTGCTTACCTTGGTTCTCTCCAGTGTGGGATGCCTTTATAGTTCCATTTTGTTTCTCTCGTGTCTCATACAATCTTTTTTTCTCGGACATGTAGAACTCTTAGGAGAGTTACTTAAGTGCTGTCAGTATGAAAATCTCCCATTCACGCTCATATGCGAAAAATCTGAACACGCTGGTTCTGTTGTAACAGAAGCA